ACATTTTGCAATTTAATTTTGAATCTGCTAACCCGAATGTTTTGAAATGTTGCAAATGTTTTAAGGCTCTAAAGGGCATCATAAATCTTTAGTCAAAATATATTTGGTTATCCCCTCCAAAAACTTGATGACGTCAGCTCAAAAGTTTGCCGAATAAATCCTATCTAAAATGTACAAAATATGATGCGTCTGTACTTGTGATATATCACTCCATTTATATTTTTTGGATTTGCCTATACAGGGTGACTCAAAAAAATTAATGAATGCGCAAAATATATTTTACTGATTTACTCAGGAACTACAAAACCGAATGCTTTGAAATCTTGAAGATGTTTTAAAATTACCATAAGCATGGTAAATTTTTTATCAAAATGTATTTGCTCTTCCCCCCTAAAAAATTGATGACGTCACTCCAAAATTTTGCTGAATAAATCCTATCTAAAATGTACAAAATACGATGAGTCCGTACTTGTGATTTATCATTCCAATCATATTTTTTGGATTTGCATATACAGGGTGACTCAAAAAAATTAATGAATGCGTCAATTTATTTTATTGATTTAATCAGGAATTACAGAACCGAATGCTGTGAAATCTTGGAGATATTTTAAAGTTACCATAAGCATGGTAAATGTTTTATCAAAATTTATTTGCTCATCCCCCCCTAAAAAAATTGATGACGTCACATTAAAATTTGGTGAATAAATCCTATCTAAAATGTGAAAAATATGATGAGTCTGTACTTGTGATTTATCATTCCATTCATATTTTTTCGATTTGCATATATAGGGTGACTGAAAATAATTAATGAATGCGTCAATTGATTTTATTGATTTAATCAGGAATTACAGAACCGAATGCTTTGAAATTTTGGAGATGTTTTAAAGTTATTATAAGCATGGTAAACTTTTGTTCAAAATGTATTTGTTTATCCCTCCTAAAAGAATTGATGACGTCACCCTTAAATTTTGCTGAATAAATCCTATGTAAAATGCAAAAAAGATGATGAGTTTGTACTTGTGATTTATCATTCCATTCATATTTTTTAGATTTTCTTAAGAGGTGGTTCAAAAAAATTAATGAAGTCAATTTATTTTATTGATTAAATTAAAGGCAACACTTATTATTAGTATTACATTGGACCAACCCAATTTGGTAGACACAAAATTTTTTAAAGTAAAAACTCGGTTGAAACATAAGGGTAACACGCTTATTTACATCTACTTTAACATTACAGACGTGCATTTGTTTTGTGCGCTGTCTAGGTTCCGCGAATGTGGTATAGACATGTTTATTATCAACCAATTGTGAATTCCACCGTCAAAAATTAAAATAAAACTCAATGTTTTATATAATAAGCGGAAGTCGAAGCAATAAAACCGATGGTCGTTTTGTTTACAGTTTCTCTGTTTGACTCTCACGTATGCTGTTACGCTTGTCATCTTAAATTAAGAATGCTTATACATACACGATTTTCAGTTCCCTCTCATATTACACGCCGGCGCCGTATACGTGAGTAAATTGTTTCGTTATTTTATTGATTACGTCATCGCAATTTTTCTTAAATTCCCACTACAAAAATGTAATGAGAAAAAAAACACAATAGGCATGCAGTCGTCAAGTTTCCGACAGCGAGGGAAGTACTATCTAAACTCTTTAGACCAATTTTTTTAGTATTACATTGCACCAATCGGAGTTGACATACTTGTCCTTGCTAAAAGTTGATGACGTCATCACAAAATTGTGTAAAGATAAATCTCAACTCGAAAATGCTAGAGATGTTTCATTGTACTTCGGGAGCGAAGGAAGTTCTGTGGAAACAACTTCCAACCAATTTTTTTTATATAATATATGACAAGTATGGACGATATTTTGTACAATTTAGATAGGATTTATTGGGTACAATTTTGAACTAACGTCATCATTGTTTTGGAGGGGGTAAGCAAATATAACTTTAAAACATCCGCAAGATTTCGAAGCATTCGATTTTGCAGATTCAAAATTAAATTGCAAAAACCCAACACGGAGTCATAAACTACTACAACTAGTAGGATTATATTATTTTATATAATTTAAAACCCATTTACTACGAGTATATACAATTTTGAAGTGACGTCATCACATTATTGGTGGGGATGATTAGACAAATTTTGGTTAGCGTTTTGCTATCTACCTACATGATATTTCTAATATAAATACAAAATTTGAGAATAATCGGCCTAGTACTTTCGGGACGGCAGACAGACGGACAGAAGGACAGACAGACAGACGGAAACGGGAGACCTATTTCTTCGTACTCTAGATGTCATGAAAGATCGAGAAAACGTTAAAGTAAAGAGTCGGCTGCGCTTACGTTCGGAAAGTAAAATAACAGATTTTTGTGAACATTTAAAAAATTTCAAATATCAATTTAGTATGACGATATCCTCATAATTTTCAGGAAGAGTATGTTGCATCTTAAGATGATTATATACAAAATAATTGGAGTGATTATAAAAAAATATTAGCAGTGTATTCGGATTTGTAGAAATGTATTATATATATTATCTAATAGAAGGTGAGTACGTTACAAGATTAACATAAATTAATCCTACCACAACGAATACAAAAGTGGGATAAGATAACTAGTTTTTTTTTTATCATTATCTCTATTATCATTATAAGTGTGAGCATTATCATTTATGTCAAATGTTTTAAATTATCTAAACAATAAATTAATTAAGGTAGGTTAGTAACGATTTTAAGTTTGATTGTTTTTACATTGTATTGTTCCTTAATTTAAATTGTCTTAAATAGGACATTAAGGTTTTTTATTCTACCCTGTTCTTAAAACCAAATTGAATACAGAAAATAAATTCCAGTTCCGACTGATTAAAACAATTATTTTAGAAAACAAAACAGAGCAAAAAAATTTATGCATGTTTGCCCAATGCAGTTAATACTCAGCTTCAAATGTTGATACAACTGTATCAACATAATTGTTTATATAAATATAAAATATATAGTACAAATACAGTATAAATTTCCGAATATCTCCTCATCCCTCGTCTGTCCATCATCGACGGAACTAATGAATATCATCAGAATTGATGACACCTCTTTTTTCGTTCAATATTCTATTCTATTTGTAGTAGTAATTAATTCAGTAACGTCTCGGAAGAAATAAAAAATACTGGAAAAACGAATTATATTTCAACAGAAATTGTAACTCAATAATTGTTACTAAATTTACATTTGACGGGTGTCCCACAATTTTATTAGTAGCGAACAATTATGTAATTTTTGATACAAACAATTCAAAACTTTTTTTTACATCATATTATAGAGAAGTGCAGACACAGATTGATCACACATTTAAATTAATGCACACTGAGTTTGGAGAGAAAGAAAAAAAAATGTTGATGAACAATTATTATTAATTTTTAATCTTTAGTAAAACACTAAATTACTGAATTTAGTGATTACTGAAGTAAACAGAATTATTATTATACAATTATTTATTAATAACTCTTTTCGAATCTTGGTCACTCACTCGCTCGTATGAATTAACTTGACTTTACATTACTTTAATTCGAAAAAGACAGGAAAATATAGGAAATGGCAAAGCATAGAATCAGACAAATATTTAAAGTGTAAAGAAAAAATTTTAAAATTTGTTAATTTCAGAATAAAACTTGTTTTTTAAAATAATCTAACTCATTCACTTTCAAAAAGAAGTCATTGTCCGAAAATAATGCACTACGCTTCATTTTATTATAGATAAATATTGTCCTTGATTATGTTCTTTAATAATATATGCAGGTACGGTTAACAATTTACATAGTGTACAAGACAAATTAATCGTCACAACTTTAATACTTTTTTATTGCTTTAATTTTGTATACCATTACTTAAACACGTATTATATCAAATTCTTTCTTTACAAAACATCGTCTTTTTGATGAAAAGAAAACTATCATTAATATATGTATATGATCAGCGGGAAAATGTATACTGTTATAAGTAATTTAAATCACACATTTTTGTTAGCGAATTTAGTGCATAGCTATAGACAACTGAAAAATTTATTATAACTTCAGTTGCACTTAAGTGTTATTATCATTTTTTTTATTTTTGTTTCTCGTATGTTAATATCAAATGTATGATGTATGTTAGGGTATTTTAAAACCTATAGGCAGTAGTACTAGCAATATTTACTTTAATGTTAGTGTTTTATATTTATTGAATTTATCTGTCTATATATTTGATCATCTCCTAAACATTAAACATATGACCAAAACGAATTACCGATGTGTAACGTTCTGAATTGCCTCATGATGCTAAATCAACACGGAATTACCCAGGCAAATACGAAAAATTCAAACATTGCTTATAGTAGGTAAACACAAATTTGCCACACGAAGGATTGGTTTCTTTATAATCCTAACGGCAAATTAAGATAAGGTGAAAAAGTGACTGTCTTATCGAATGTGGTTCAATGTACCCATTGTGATTAGATCTGTATCGACTATCGAAATGTGGGTTAACACTCCATTCATCGTACGAAATAATCCCAGCAAATATTTATTCAAACAAATTTTTATAAAACCGAAAGCAGAAAAGTATTTCCGTTTAACCCTTTTTTAAGCTAAGTAGTTCACGAGTATTGTCAAAGTGTTTGTCAAGACAGATAAAACAGCCGACGAAAAAATTTTATAGGTGATGTATTTACACTATTTGATAATGCTGACACAATTTAAAATTTCTTTTTTATTTATTGGGTTCATAACTGCGTAGCGGAAATCGCTTATTTCGTAATTTTCGAAAATTAGTCATTTTTATTTTTCTGTTTTAAAAACGACAAAAAATTAACAGATTACAAAGAACAAACGGAATATGTTTAAACTGAGTTCTTTGTATTGATGGATGATGATGCGTCAAGGTATGCGGATTTTTTTCAAAATATTGCTGGGTTAAATGAAAACTATAATTAAACTGTTATCTTAAAGATATAGTTATGGATTATATAGACCTGAATAAGGCTATTGTCGCAGAGATATTGCATACTTCATGTAGTGAAGTGGTGGTGGTGGTTACAACTGGTGTCCGCACTATCGGAAACTAAGGTAATAACGATTTTTTAACGTTTCATAAATCTAATTAAATGAATACAGCAATTTTTAATTATTTAAAACGTTTCATTTTTAATGAATCAAGAAAATATTTATAATTATATCCATTAAAAATAAATTTGAAGTTGAGAAAATATTTGCATAATGTTTCACATGGAGCTGAAAATGAAACGAATGATTTATACCTCATAAATAAATTTTCAAAATTTTGAAAACTGCATCTCAAGGTCGCATTTCGTATTTCAGAACTGGCAAATTTCAAAACTTTTATTTTTACGGAAATATAGGTAAATTGATTAATAAATTTACCAATAAGATTATAGACAAGAAAATGTGACACTATTGTGTTATAAATGTTTTACGGAAGTGTTTATTACGTTAATATTAGAATCATTACGAATATATTTTCCTTCAAGGGAAGTTTTCATATTTACGAACACCGGAATTAAAATCATTCTACATGTTCGAGAAAACTTGACTGAAATAAGGGCAGTCATTCACATATAGCAACTTTTAATCGCTGTAGAAAGATTGCTGTTACAGATTTGAAATAATAAAACGTAGGTAAAGGAAAATCGTAAAAGCGTCTGTTTTGAACAATAAAAGCGGTTTATGTACTAGTTATTCAGGTTTGTATAGAACTGATGTCTTTAGGAATTCAATTTAATTTTCATTTTTAGTAATACACAGCTACTGGTTTTTGATGAAAGATGAAGGTTGAAAAATTGAAAGAACGGAAAAAATTTAAAATCGAAAAATTGTGAGATCAAAATCTTACAAATGGAAAACTTGAGCACAAACTGAATAACTGAAAAATTCAAATTGAGAATTCAAAAAATTGGAGATCAAAAACTTGTGAAAGTCTAAAAATTAAAAAAAAACGAAAAATTGAATAATCGAAAAGTTAAAAATTAGAATTGAAGAAACAAAAAATTGAAAAATCGAAAAATTAAAATTTGACTAACTGAAAAATCGAAAAATGAAATTGCGAAAAATTTATAAAGCGAAAATCGAAAAATTAAAAGTCGGGAAACTGAAACCAATAAAAATTGAAAAATCCAAAGTTGAAAAATTTAAAGAACGGAAAAAATTTTAAAATCGAAAAATTGTGAGATCAAAAACTTGCAAATGGAAAACTTGAGCAAAAATTGAATAACTGAAAAATTCAAAAATTGAATAAATTCAAATTGAGAACTCAAAAACTTGGAGATCGAAAACTTGTAAAAGTCTAAAAATTAAAAAAACGAAAAATTGAATAATCGAAAAGTTAAAAATTAGAATTGAAGCAACAAAAAATTGAAAAATGGAAAAATTAAAATTTGATTAACTGAAAAATCTAAAAATGAAATGGCGAAAAATTTATAAAGCGAAAATCGAAAAATTAAAAGTCGGGAAACTGAAACCAATAAAAATTGAAAAATTCAAAGTTGAAAAATTGAAAGAACGGAAAAAATTTTAAAATCAAAAAATTATGAGATCAAAAACTTACAAATGGAAAACTTGAGCAAAAATTGAATAACTGAAAAATTCAAAAATTGAATAAATTCAAATTGAGAACTCAAAAAATTGGAGATCGAAAACTTGTAAAAGTCTAAAAATTAAAAAACCAAAAATTAAATAATCGAAAAATTAAAAATTAGAATTGAAGAAACAAAAAATTGAAAAATGGAAAAATTAAAATTTGACTAACTGAAAAATCGAAAAATGAAATGGCGAAAAATTTATAAAGCGAAAATCGAAAAATTAAAAGTCGGGAAACTGAAACCAATAAAAATTGAAAAATTCAAAGTTGAAAAATTGAAAGAACGAAAAAAATTTTAAACTCGAAAAATTGTGACATCAAAGACTTACAAATGGAAAACTTGAGCAAAAATTGAATAACTGAAAAATTCAAAAATTGAATAAATTCAAATTGACAACTCAAAAAATTGGAGATCGAAAATTTGTAAAAGTCTAAAACTTAAAAAAACGAAAAATTGAATAAGAGAAAAGTTAAAAATTAGAATTGAAGAAACAAATAATTGAAAAATCGAAAAATTAAAATTTGACTAACTGAAATATCGAGAAATGAAATGGCGAAAAATTTATGAAGCGAAAATCGAAAAATTAAAAGTCGGGAAACTGAAACCAATAAAAATTGAAAAATCAAAAGTTGAAAAATTGAAAGAACGGAAAAAATTTTAAAATAGAAAAATTGTGAGATCGAAAACTTACAAACGGAAAACTTGAGCAAAAATTGAATAACTGAAAAATTCAAAAATTGAATAAATTCAAATTGAGAACTCAAAAACTTGGAGATCGAAAACTTGTAAAAGTCTAAAAATTAAAAAAACGAAAAATTGAATAATCGAAAAGTTAAAAATTAGAATTGAAAAAACAAAAAATTGAAAAATGGAAAAATTAAAATTTGATTAACTGAAAAATCAAAAAATGAAATGGCGAAAAATTTATAAAGCGAAAATCGAAAAATTAAAAGTCGGGAAACTGAAACCAATAAAAATCGAAAAATTCAAAGTTGAAAAATTGAAAGAACGGAAAAAATGTTGAAATCGAAAAATTGTGAGATCAAAAACTTACAAATGGAAAACTTGAGCAAAAATTGAATAACTGAAAAATTAAAAAACTGAATAAATTCAAATTGAGAAATCAAACAATTAGAGATCGAAAACTTGTAAAAGTCTAAAAATTAAAAAAACTAAAAATTGAATAATCGAAAAGTTAAAAATTAGAATTGAAGCAAGAAAAAATTGAAAAATGGAAAAATTAAAATTTGGTTAACTGAAAAATCTAAAAATGAAATGGCGAAAAATTTATAAAGCGAAAATCGAAAAATTAAAAGTCGGGAAACTGAAACCAATAAAAATTGAAAAATTCAAAGTTGAAAAATTGAAAGAACGGAAAAAATTTTAAAATCAAAAAATTATGAGATCAAAAACTTACAAATGGAAAACTTGAGCAAAAATTGAATAACTGAAAAATTCAAAAATTGAATAAATTCAAATTGAGAACTCAAAAAATTGGAAATCGAAAACTTGTAAAAGTCTAAAAATTGAAAGAACGAAAAATTCGAAAATCCGAAAGCGCAAAAATTAGAATTGAAAGAACAAAAAAATTGAATTTAACAAATGGAAAATTCAAAAATTGAATAGTTTCAAATTGAAAACTTTGTAAAAATCTAAAAATTAGAGACATGAAAAATTGAAAAGGCGGAAAATTGACAAAGCGAAAATGTAAAAATTGTAAGTCGAGAAACTAAAATAGTAAAAAATTGAAAAATCTGAAAAGCGAAAAACTATAAAATCAAAAAATTGTAACATTGAAAAATTACAACTGGAAACTTGGAGAAATAAACATTTAATTAATGAAAAATTCAAAATCGGAATAATTGAAAACTATTAGCAGAAAATGTATTAATTTTGTTTAAGAAACATTGCAATAATTTACGATTATTGAATAGTGAAACTAATAGAACTAATTTTTATATTTTTTTAAAATGAAAAATATTGCAAAATTTGAAAAATAAAAAAAAGTTATTAGAGTCCCTTTTTAGTTGACTCACCCTGTACATTATATCATAAAGTTCTCGTTTCGAATTCAAAACGGCGAATGGCCACTTTCATGTTTTTTCGCCATTTCATAACCCCTACCTGTGTTGACCTTTATTAGACAGATAATTGTCAAAACTACTGGACCGATTGGTACCACTGGTATACTTTTATTGAACGTTAAAAAAAAGCAAAGTAAGAATGAGAAACCATATTGCAAACAAAACGTAGGCGGCAGCTTTTTGTGCAGGTGGCTGCCTAGATGCAAGTCGTAATTTACTGGAACGCCCGGAAGTGGATAATTTTTCATTTTGTACAATCCCGAGATCATATGTGTCAATAAACAGTCAGTCGAAGACGAAATTATACTTTTATAACAACCTAATTAAGTTGACTGCCTCATTAATTTTTTCGACTTGAATAAGCACATCTAAAAAACATGAATGCAGTGATAAATTACAAATATAGTCTGATCATATTTTGCACATTTTCGAAAGGACTTATTCGGCAAAATTTTGAGAGTTGATAAACAGATAGCAATTTTATTAAAAATTTACCATGCTTACAATAACTTCAAGACAGCTACAAGATTTCAAAGTATTCAATTTTTCAATTCTTGATTTAATCAACAAAATAAATTGACTGGAGTCATAAACTACATGTGTAGGACTCTGCTATTTTTTACCATCTACACGACATTGTTAATATACAAACAAAATTTAACAACAATCGGTCCGCCACAGACACAGACAGACGCCAGACGCCAGACAGACAGACAGACGGAAACGACAGATCTCTTTTTTTCGTATTCTAGGGCTCATGAAACGTCGAGAAAACATGTACGCAATTAGTCACCTGATGGACTCGTTTACAATACTTTCTTATTAGCTTAGGCTTAGGAAGTAAAAATCAATGCATATGAGTAATTTTTAAAATAACTAATGAATAATTAATTATAACTGCTTCCATTGGAAATATATTTCTTTATTACATGTATTTATACCTACCATTGGAAAAAAAAATAAATAAACGTTTTATTTTTGCAGATGAAGCTACTGTTGCTAATCCTTTTGGTTGTGGGATGCATTATTTGTGCATCAAAATCCGAAAAATGCGCCCCCACGACTCAAGAAGACTGTGAGAATATGACTTCCGAGTACGAAAAATATAGAGCTTGTATGGAACGACGAACAAAACGATCTGCTGATTGCTACGACGAAGACGAGACAAACTGTGACAAATGCGACTGCAATTCATGCAGCTACAATTCATGTGATAATTGTGACAACAATAACAACTGCTGCGAAAAATGCTGTCAGAGAAGTTCATGTACAACGTCCAACTGTTGCCACCAAACCTGCAGAGCAGAGTGCAGATCTAATTCTTGTCGAACCGCGTGCAGAAAGAGATGTCAAGATAGACCAGCCAACATCGAAGGACCTCCATCGGTACAAACTCAATCAAAAACTGCAAGCCAACATAATATAACCACCGTTATTCATCTCAACAACGTTATTAACAACACGAACTTAATTAATTTGCCAATAAACGTCAATAATACTGTCGTAAACAATATCACAGGTCAAGTACAGTACGGAGGAGGATACACTGCGTCACAGACATCCGAAGAAAAGTGTTGCTTAATAATAGGGCCAAGACAATGCGTTCCGCAAAACACCTTTCCTTTTATAAGATGCTTCCACATAAGAAGAAAGACTTGTGGCAATATCTGTTCTGCTCCGGTGATTCATTATCAGACTCATGAGATTTGTGACAATGATGTAGGCGCAAACTTGCAACAACCATGTCATCAGCAGACAGTTTACGTCCCTCAGCCCCAACCCAGATGTGCTTACCAACAGGCATGGCCATACGTTAGTTGTGGAAATCAAGCAATGCAAACCTGCGATGGATGCTACAGTCACTACGTAAAACGCGAAGACGTAACAAAGTGTTCAAATTTCTGCTATGATGATGGTTACGGTGTTGGACCATATTACAGACAAGCACCATTTTACAGACCAGGTTTTGCCCATGCTCCCTCTTGTTATCAAACTGGTATGTGTGGCTTCGACGGTTACGGTTATGGTTATGGATATGAAGGCATCCCAGACAACGGTTTTCCCATGGCTTATCCCCCACAGACTTATCCTTTTGTTATCGAGGATTGTGAGAATTGTACTTTTCCTGCTGCAGGATGGGACAGTCCTAATTCCAATGAACCTTTTCATCAACTTGAATACAAGAATCTACCGCCTTATTTCCCGTGGAGCAATGGTTCAGACAAATTAATGAAGATTGATGCGAGTGTTAACGCGGCACGTTCTGAAAGATATGCTGAAATTAGAATTAAGCCCGCAAATGAAAGTCAAGTGACGACTACAACGGTGAGCAGTGAGCAAACCACGCTGTCTTAAGTTTCATTAGCAAATACTTGTATTGACACAGAATATAAATAAATCTGTCGCTTAATTTCACTCCAAACTGTGCTTTTTTAATTTTAGTAAAAAGTCTTTTATCTGAACTGGTTCTCTTTCTTTATTTAATGATTCAGTGCTATAAGAGCTATTAACATACCTAGAATGTAAAGACTGTCGTAACATACGTCCGTGGTGTGTTCAAGATTTCGAGAATCAAAAAAATGATGGATTTAGGAGACGTATTGCCCGAAAATGTTAAAAATGCAGCCATTCAAACATTATACAGTTTAAATAAAACCGATAGTTACTTACATTATTGCTTTTCACATTCATTGCTTTTCAATTCCTTGAGAAATGTTGTCTTCAAAATTTTAAATTAAGTACTTGAACTGGACGCATTCTTGGGAAAGTAATTCGTCTCAGTCTTCAAAATATAAAGATTCCAATTGTGTTGACAGTTTGCGTATCTCAGCATCGTCCTTTGATTTGAAGGAATTCAAAAAAACCAAATTTATTTTCAATTTTGCTGTATACATTCAATCTACGGTTTACTTCTGGCAGAAATCTGTCTAAAATTGTACTGAAAGTGCTAATTCTCATCTCCGCTTTGCCATCTAGATTGGTTTCGTCACCAGTAGTTTCAAGGAACTGTCTTTTTCGTTGCTTAGTTCTCTTCAAATCTTTCTTGTATTCAGTGATACTGATAATATTTGACCTCGATCGTCATTGATTAAAAGTATCCTAAATTTCCATTTTTTTGGGAACCAAAAGTAAGTTCGCGTGGGGAAAGAAATTTTGCAACATTTATCTTGTCAGCCTTGTATTAGGTAGGTATTTGTTCACAATATTTTTTTCTGATAAATATTGTTGATGTAATTTGATGTCAATGTTTCCCAACATCGTGCTACGAGGTAGGAATGTTTTTGTGTTTGTCTGTTGATGATTTTTCATGACTTTCTATCCGGGCCAAATTTTTCCAGTCGTTAAAGCCAGATATTAGTGCACTATCTTCTACTCCAAATATTTTACAGAAAAAACAAAAAACTTTCCCTGTGGTCTGAGAATATAATAGCCAATCCCTCTTATTTTTCTCAGCATTAAAGGATACAGAAAACATATGATCGCTTAGAATTTGTAAAATCAAGCTGGTTCAAGTTTTGTTTTGGAAGATGTTTTAATGTTAAGGCAATTATCTAAATCCCATTCACATGGATCGCGATTAATAATCAAATTCGTCCTATTCCTAAAACCGCAGACATCCAATCCTTATCTAATTTAAGCCCTATAAGTATCCTTACTGCACATTCCAAGGTGTTGGAAAAATTTATTTATAACTAGATCTTTTTATACAGCGTAAATTAAAATATTTTGTCAGAAGGTCAGTCACAACAAGCGTTTTAGCCGATGTATTAGATGACTACATTCTCTCTCTTGATAAATCTCGCTAGCTCGAATAGGAACCGCACACTCCGCTTCTGCCACGTATTTCGGTGTTTCAATTTCTATGACTCTGATATTAACGACAACTGAACAAGTGTTGAAGTTTCAAAGGGCAATAAACAACATTTAAATTCGCCATACACATCAGATAATCTATACGAACGAAACATTCAGCAACAAAATATTTACAAAACAAAACTGAAATAAACTTGTGCAAATGAAAATATTACGCGAAGATAAAACTGTAGAGCATGAAAGTTTACGTTGAATTAAAATTATACAACAAAGAAAATTACTGAAGTTAAAAGTGTGAAATAGAGAAATATTGTTTATAATTTATTTTAACCCCCCCCCCCACCCCCCAGTTCACGCTATAATGAAGTTTGTTAATTTAGCTGCCGTAAATGCACTATTAGCAATCTTGTGTGAAGAATTAAGAAGTGTTATAATGTAACAGTTAAGTATTAGCATCCTGAAACCTCATTCATAACTCGTAAACAAAGAGTGTTATCCTGACTAAGTGAATTTCACGAAATCTAGTAACTGTCTGTCTAAGCAAATCTAATGTCTATTAAATTGCGCTAGAACCAGTTAACGATTAAAATCCTAATCTGATCGGTGAATTTACAAACAATAAAAGAACTTTACAGCACGTGTAGCGTCGGTCTAAAATTAGCACTTTTTCCGATTAGAAAGCCGCAAAAAAAGCTGCGTGGGTTGGGGAAAACAAAGGCTTTCTCCCTTTTATTAACTACCAAACCAACTAGTTTAACCTAGCTAACTTGATGTCTTTTCACCATGCTCACACAACACCGAACCAAACAATCATGACCCTTTCACCATGTCTTGTCTACTCTACCCCCCGCTAACTAAAACATCCCCTTGCAAGCTACCAACTACCCACAAAGCGCTAACGTGCGCATAGCTGCCTATGTTTAACGATGTTTTTGACTGATTTTTTTTTCAAATTCAAATTATTCAAATGTGATTTCGCGCCGCTGTTAATTAATTTCAGCGCGAACATTTGATTCAAATTCGGTCACCACAGGGTCGACAGAGAAATTAGAACAACTGTCAAGAGACTGCTAATCTTCCATTTTTACTTCCCGAGCGTAAGCAAAGGAAGTATTGTAATCGAGTCCGTCGGCCGACTCTCTACTTTTACGTTTTCTCAATCTTTCATGACCCCTAGAAGACGAAGAAATAGGTCTCCCATTTCCGTCTGTCTGTCCGTCTGTCCGTCCGTCTGTCCGTCCGTCTGTCCGTCCGTCTGTCCGTCTGTCCGTCTGCCGTCCCGGATTTTTATTAGACAGATAATCTCCGAAAGTACTCGACCGATTGTTGTGAAATTTTGTACTTATATTAAGAATATCATGTAGATGGTAAAACGCTAACCAAAATTTGTCTAATCATCCCCACCACTAATGCGATGACGTCACTTCAAAATTGTACATAGTAAATGGGTTTTCAATTGTATAAAATAACATAGTCCTACACATGTAGTTTACAACTCCGAATCGACTTTTCACCCGAAACGTCCAGATTTTTGGGAAAAAAATCAAAATTATAAAACAACATTTTGAAATTTAATTTTTAATCTGCTAACCAGAATGCTTTGAAATATTGCAGATGTTTTAAGGCTATAAAGAGCATCATAAATCTTTAGTCAAAAAATATTTGCTTATCCCCTCCAAAAACTTGATGACGTCAGCTCAAAAGTTTGTGGAATAAATCATTTCTAAAATGTACAAAATATGATGAGTCTGTACTTGTGATCTATCACTCCATTCATATTTTTTGGATTTGCATATACAGGGTGACTCAAAAAAATTAATGAATGCGTAAATTTATTTTACTGATTTACTCAGAAACCACAAAACCGAATGCTTTGAAATCTTGCAGATGTTTTAAGGTTATAAAGAGCATAATAAATGTTTAGTCAAAATATATTTGCTTATCCCCTCCAAAAACTTGATGACGTCAGCTCGAAAATTTGTCGAATAAATCATATCTAAAATGTACAAAATATGATCAGTCTGTACTTGTGATCTATCACTCCATTCATATTTTTTGGATTTGCATATACAGGGTGATTCAAAAAAATAAATGAAAGCGTAAATTTATTTTACTGATTTACTCAGGAACTACAAAACCGAATGCTTCGAAATCTTGAAGATATTTTAAAATTATCATAAGCATGGTAAATTTTTGGTCAAAATGTATTTGGTCGTCCCCCCTAAAAAATTTATGACGTCACCACAAAATTTTGCTGAATAAATCCTATCTAAAATGTGCAAAATATGGTGAGTCTCTTCTTGTGATTTATCATTCCATTCAAATTTTTTCGATTTGCATATACAGGGTGACTCAAAAAAATTAATGAATGCGTAAATTTATTTTATTGATTTAATCAGGAACTACAAAACCGAATGCTTTGAAATCTTGCAGATGTTTTAAGGTTATAAAGAGCATAATAAATTTTTAGTCAAAATATATTTGGTTATCTTCTACAAAAAACTGATGACGTCAGCTCAAAAGTTTGCCGAATAAATCGTATCTAAAATGTACAAAATATGATGAGTCTGTACTTGTGATTTATCATTCCATTCATATTTTTGGATTTGCATATGCAGGGTGACTCAAAAAAATTAATGAATGCGTGAATTTATTTTATCGATTTAATCAGGAATTAAAAAACCGAATGCTTTGAAATCTTGGGAATATTTTAAAGTTATTATAAGCATGGTAAACTTTTGTTCAAAATGTATTTGTTCATCCCTCCTAAAAAAATTGATGACGTCACCCTTAAATTTTGCTGAATAAATCCTATCTAAAATGCAAAAAATATGATGAGTTTGTACTTGTGATTTATCATTCCGTTCATATTTTTTAGATTTTCTTAAGAGGTGGTTCAAAAAAATTAATGAAGTCAATTTATTTTATTGATTAAATTAAAGGCAACACTTATTATTAGTATTACACCCCAACCAACCCAATTTGGTAGACACAAAATTTGTTTAATGAAAAACTCGGTTGAAACATAACGGTAGCACGCTTATTTACATCGACTTTAACATTACAGTCCTGCATTTGTTTTATGCGCTCACTTGGTTCCGCGAATGTGGAATAGACATGTTTATAATCAACCAATTGTGAATTTCACCGTCAAGAATTAAAATAAAACCCAATGTTTTATATAATAAGCGGAAGTCGAAGCAATAAAACCGATGGTCGTTTTGTTTACAGTTTCTCTGTTTGACTCTCACGTATGCTGTTACGCTTGTCATCTTAAATTAAGAATGTTTATACATAAACGATTTTCAGTTGCCCCTCATATTACTAGACAGCGGATTTCTGTCGGGCTACGTCACGATTATAGGGGGGGAACGTGCTGGATTGCCGGGTGATAGATAATCACTGAATTTAATCGGTACTAATTCCATAAATATAATTAACGATTTGTTAATCAAACGGCTAAGTAAATGAGAACGGGAATTAACAGCAGAGTGCAACGAAACAGTATTATTCTAATCTCAAATAAACGACGTGCAGTCCGCAACCGCAATGAATTCGCATCCCGTACGAGCCGTACTGAGTTTGGCCTTGCCTAGCCCGACAGAAATCCGCTCTCTAGATATTACACACCGGCGCCGTATACGTGAGTAAATTGTTTCGTTATTTTATTGATTATAAGAAATCAATATTCAAAACGACCCAATTCATTTTCCCGAAAATTTGGGAATACAATAATTTTATTCTTAGTATTACACTACATCTATCCCAACTGATATACGTGTCCTTGCAAAAATGTTGATGACGTCATCACAATTTTTTTTTAAATTCCCACTACAAAAATGTAATGAGAAAAAAAAACATAATAGACATGCAGTCGTCAAGTTTCCGACAGCAAGGGAAGTACTGTCTAAACTCTTTAGACCAATTTTTTAATATCTGGTTCTTAATCGCCTCAGTAGAATTTTTGTAGTTTCATGATGCTGAGAATATGCAGTCATTATTTTTTAAAACATCGCCTCAAAAGCGATGCTGCAAGTAGGCAGTAATTCCATCCAGGAAGACTAAATTTGTATATAGCACACTCTAGACACAATTTTTAATATGTTCTTCTGAAATACTTCAGCAATAGGTATGTGATCTCTGATGTTACGGTGAGAGTGCAGTTATTGTATGCATTACTGAAATCACGTTATACCGATTATAGACTGATTTTTTTCATATTCATTTTTTTTTTTGTTCATAGAAATCGTAGAACATGTGTTTATTTCAGACATTTGAGCGACACGCTGCTAACTGAACTAAAGTCGAGCTGTATTTGGAACTTTATCCGAAATAACTAACGAAGAAAGGGGACGGTAAATGCGTAAATGCAATTATGACGTAATGCGATAAACAACGACAAAGTTAGTAGCATTATTGAAATAATTATTAAAACGTCAATTTCAAGTTGATTTAACAACGTCACAAAACGGCGTTCCTATGGTAGCGTCGCAAAAATCTATTAGATTCCGGTATAATTTTGCGACGCCGTTTTGCGACGTCGCTAAATCAGCTTGAAATTGGCCCTAAAATCAAGATTAAGTGAATTTAATTAAAGAAAAGTGTATGATGAAATTTATTTAAATCTTATTATTTCTGCATTATTAGCAACTAAATTTAAAACTCGTGTAATTTTACTGTCATTGGACTCACGTCTATTGGCTAATAAATGAAATAATAAATACTATTATTATTTTTTTATTGGCCCTTAGAACTATAAATAACAGAAATGTGGACAAAAATAGCAACAAAACGGATTGAACGAAAAATTCAGTTGTCATATTTAAATATTATAAATTTAGCGAATATTCGTTATTTGCATACTAATATCACCGCGTGTACCCGATTTTTCAAAGACGTCGTTGTTTAACGTGTCCTTAACCAAGATAAGACTGTTGACAAATTGTATCTTCCGTAAATCATTGGTTTTTACTTTTATTCTCGAAACAGGGTAAGACACACTTTTACCTTTTTATTCCAATTACCTCAAGTTAGTAGTTTCAGATGAAGTTCTTAATACTGTTTATTTTATTGGCATACCATTTTAAGAATGGACTTACGGCGAATCCAAATACAAAGCAAAATTTTTGCCAAAATAATCGATGTTTGACTTGCATTGGTCGATATTGTACAACAACGTGCGAAGGTGAAGGCTGCAAAAACTGCCCCCTCGGTGATTGCTGCGATGGTACTAATTGCAACATATGCCGCGGAGAAAAGTGTTGTTCTACAATGGAATGCAATACATGTATTCACGAATGCCTAAAACAGTGCCAAGGAACGGCAAGTTGCCATTATGACTGCTTTCAACAATGTATTCCAAACGGGGAAAATGGTGCAGATGAAACAAACGATAATCAGGTATACAAAAATTTCTATTGCGTTTCTTTTATGCTTAAACATAGTTGCTTAGTACCAACTATTTATCACAAACGCATTATAACTTACATAATAATAGCCCTACAAGAAAAACCTATACTGATAGAGAAAAAAACACTCACTAAAGTTTTCTATAATCTTATTTAATGCAATTTTCAAAAGTAGACATACATTGTTCCTTGTAAGCATTTTTTTTTAATGGTAGCTATAAATCAATATTTGCGAATCCAAGCAAACCATTACCTCAAAGGCTAACGGTATCCTACTATAAAATATTTTATTTATCTAAGTATACACACAAATGTTTGATCATACACGTCCCAATTATCATTACAGAAACCTTACATATGCTAATAATAATTTATAACAATGAATTTAAAAGAAAAATAGCTATTTATAGTATAAGTGAATAAAGACGAATTTTATTCACGAAAAATAGTTTATTCCATAATTTAATACAGGTAAATGTATTACTTTTAGATTAACAGATCCCCCGGTTCATCCCTAATTAGTAACAAGAATTATCTACCTGTCAACGTTACAACGATTATTAATATTACCAACACTATCCACAACGAAAACCAACTCCATAATCCAATATTTATTAACACGACAAATGTTAACAACTACACTGGACAGAATAGTTATCACAGAAAACAAGTTCAAATTTCTACTAATACGAACAACAGCGACATTGATATCGTCAAATCTGAAAATATTAACCAACAAAATTGTTGTGAAGTGATACATCCAGAGATATGCAGAAGCTACTCACAAAACGTACAGCTATGTTACACCAGAAAACATGATGAATGTTCAGCACTATGTACAGGTAGACACATTCATATCGTCGAAAACAAGAACCAAAAGGCACGTTGTATTGGAATTGCCACCGATCCTTATTGGTATTGTGGTCAATATATTGTTGAAAGTATGTTTTTATTTCAGTATGTTTTTATTTGTTTCATGTAAATGTATGGTTGTTTTAGATTGCGATAACTGTTACAACTGTACAGATATAGATGACACAGAGTGCACCCAAAATCCGGATTGTTCAGACGCATGCAGATCTGGTTTAATAGCTAAGGAATTCTACAACAAACTGTACAGAAAAGAATAAGTTCTTACATATGCTTAAATTGTTTTGGTTCAACATGGATTCCTTGAAATACAAGAAATGGTTTTGCAACTTGTGTTTAGTAGTAAAGCTTGCTTTTAAAATTCCAGCTTATGATTTAAATATCACTGGAAATATTGCTTGATTAATCAAAATATTATCGACAATACACTAAAGTATTTCGAAAAACTGTGTTGCCTTATTTTCACATTTCAGTCCCAAAATAATAAAGTTAACTAATACTACTTCTTGAATTTTCCAGTTGTTAGTTTAGCGTCAAATTTTCATCAGTTAACCTTACTTTCTCCAAAAAAAGCCCTGTTCGTGTTGATTTCAGGTCACTTTTCCACTTTGCATTTGAACGCATTCCACCATTTTAAAACATTGTAGGTTCTCCATTTTGTTGATGATTATAGATCATGGCCAATTTTTTAATTTTTGACGGGTTTTGTCACAATATTTAAATTTAATTTTGTTTTTTCCTGTTTTGTCAAATTGCTTAAGTATAGTCCCAAGCAGCAGACTGTCGTCTAATCACGTCAATTTTTGGTCATAACTCGTCGGCGAGATCATTCGCCCAAAAAATCACGTGAAAATGACGAGATTTTTATGACTTACTTCTGACGTCAATTAATGACGTCAAAAGGCCGTCCTTTCTTCGTCATGTTTTATAGATTATATGATCAATTAGATGTGGGTCGTCGTATTCTTTAAAAAGTGGCCTTCATAATTATATTTAGAGCAAAAAACACAACGGCTTAATCATTCTAATAATTTCTATTAAAATAATTATTTCTGAAAACTTGTTTATTCTGGAAGTGTGATTTTGTAAGTACCTGCTTGGCAAATTATAAATACAACATCTGGGGTTGAGCGAAAAGACCCAACGACACAAACAAAGTCATAAAAACTCTTTGTCCATTGTCCCTAAAACGGAACAAGGTTTTGAAGAATTCCTTCGTCGAATTTTGATTTTATAAAGACGTTTATAAAGTGATGACGGTTACCAAAAAAATTCGAGAGTGATTAATATTCAGTTTTATTAAATTTATTCTTATCCGTATTTACTATACAATACATCAAATGTTTGGGGTGTGCATTCGGACTTTCCCTTTTTTCGGTATTTATGTTTATTGCACTTCACAGAGAAGCATTTCAATATTTCCAGTTGGTTCTCAACCACCGAAACCTTCTCGTGAATCCGTTACTCACTTCATTTTTAACGCAGTTTTGTGCAAATTTATGCCATTCAGTGTGGGTTGTACTTATTTATAGTAGGTAAGTTAATATCTAATAAAGTAATCATTTTAATTTTTACGTGTTTCTGTTATTTTTGATAACTGTACGTAGATAACAAAAGCAGTTTTTTCAGATAAGCTGGAAAGACCACGATTAATCACTGAAGATACTCCCACTGATTATGAAGAACTTACGGTGATTGTTTTTGAAAATGAGGCGCTATAAAATATTGCAAAGGTATGTTACTGCAATTTTTTATGAACTAATGCTAATGAACATAATTTTATTTTAGATTTGAAACAAATACAAAACACATGTGCGAAACGAAAGAAATGCTAAAGGAAACGAGTGAAAAAATCTCCAAGATGGAAACGTCATCAAATCTGACAACTGAAAAAGAAAACAAAAACAGAAATTATGCCGCCAAAACCACACCTAAACAAATTTTGACGAATTACAAGATTATGTTTGCATATTAGAACAAGCAGATTTCTTTGTAAGTTAAAAAAATACAATGAATTCATATATACATATATACCATTAATATTGGATATTATATACCGGTAGATGCCTGTAATACTACGATACTTTTTGGTAACTTACTATTTACACACACATTTCGCTTCATTGTAAAAAGTATTGACGAGATTTTCCTGATAGGCTGTACGTTTTTGTCAATGCAACCATTTTACGATTATCCGTTAGATTCAAGTAAATTTAGCATTTTTAAAATACAGAATTTGTCTTCTGCTCTAAGCTGTAATCCCTTAAATTTAATAATAGTCAAATACTTGCTATTGCCCATAGATGAAAAAATGATTGCATTTCCATTAATCCGTGCACTCTAACGGGTTTTTCTTTTCAGTGCAATAAATTGAGGCAAACTTAAAAAACTTAGATTATTGAAATTATTGTTAAAACAGAATTAATTACATATACTGTGGTTTTACAGTGCATTTTCAATCAAGTAACTCCAACAATGCGATTCAATTGTCTTTTCCCTTTATTCTAGTTTTTTTTTTAATATTTTTTGTAAATAGATTTGTTTATGTTTTTAAGACTGATCTATAGTTTATTATAGTTTTTTTTTTAATATTCTTTGTAACTAAATAGATTTCTTTGTGTTTTTAAAACTGATTTTTCTTTAAATAGCATATTTTATTGCAACGTTTATTTTTGATTATATATTGTACCATATCCTTTTTTTTGTTCATACTAATTATACTCGTAATTACCTTATGTAGATTTGTTTGTGTTCTTAGGAGTGGTTTATCTTTAATTTGTTTAATTGACATATTTTTTATTTGTTTATTGAAGTTCATTGTTGGTTGTACAAAATTGTAGTAAATTTAATTTTTTTACACTAATTTGTTTTAACTTTAATTAACATATACTTTGTTTTGGGCTTTACTTGGTAATTATAACGAATTATAATATTTTATTTAACCTAAACAATATAAAAAATAGTTATTTATCTTATTAGTGGGATAGAGCCATTATTACAGCACTACGAGTGTGAAGATTGCAGAAGACGAGGTCGTTAGCCCGAGTCATCTGTAATCACACGAGTTGCTGTAATATGCTCTAGCCCACGTATGAAATACAAAACTTTATCTACAACTGCCCAAAAATGAAAAAGAAAAAAAGCCGATTAAATTTTTTTATTAATTAAAAATCAAGAATCAAGAGAATTTTTGCAGTGTTATGACAACCGCTCAAATTTGTTGTAAACAACGCGTCAGTTTTTAGAAAAAAAATGTTGTTCAATCGAGAAATGAGTGATTCTGAATCAGAAAGCTTGCCTTTCGAAACAGAAGAAGCTGCTACAAACCTAGTGTCTTCATTGTTCCCTGATAAATCAAAAACTGAATACGAAAAACGGTTCACTGACTGGTGTGCATCCAAGAAAATAAATCATGAAGCAAGATAGAAGGTGCTGTTGCCATTTTTTGAAGATTTGTCGAAAAGTTATAAATGCAGCAGCCTTTGGGCTGTATGTGAAGGTACTGAAGGTTATATCGACACTTCGATTGAAAACAAGAAAAAGACCGCTTCTGATATTCTTGGAGGTGATCCTGGAGCCAGAACAAGTACGGCCAGTAGCTACAACCGAGATTCAAGCATTGTTAGAAGAGAAATCTTAAATACTGGAGCTGTAACAAACATTTTGTTAACAAAACCTAAGCATTATGGACAAAGATACAAATAATTTCATTTCATCTGGTATTAATATCAGTAATTGTAAGAAATGTATTATCGACGTGTATAGCAAATAAGTTAAGAATTAATCAATGTAATTTGTTGTAATTTACATGTTAATAAAATTCAACTAAGAAGTGGAGACCTTCATTACACCACTAGTGGTGTAATCTTTCTATTACACCACTAGTGGAATAAGAGGGTTTATTACTCAACTCAAACAGTGCCGAATGAGTTGTGTAATAAGGCCTTTATAAAGCAGTTGTAGATAAATAAAATTATTTCAGCGTTTTATTTATTGCATATTTTTTTCTAAAAATCAAAATATAAAAAACGTCTTAAAATGGACAATAAGTGCCGTCTCTATGACGTCAGTAAATCACGTCAATAATTCGTTACAAAATGACGACTCTAAGACGTCAGTACATCACGTCAATAGTTCGTGAGAAAATGACGTCATCTAGACGAGACATTTGACCGTCATGGGTACGTCAATATCACGTGAAATCTTTGGTTACTATGACGTAAATGATGACCATTTATTCACGTGAAAAAGACGACATCATGTTGCCTGGGGTCATTCAAGAAATAGCATACCACACGTGCTCGGCTTTTTTTTTCAACCATTCATCGTAATGCACTTATGATAACTAGGTATGGTATAAATTATCAGCAGATGCAACAAGTTATACATCCATCAAATAAACCATGTATAAGTACTCACTGATGCAAAGATAAACTTCATGGACCAGTAATATTTAGGTATATTTATAAATTGTTATCAGTAATTAGTGTTAATAATAGTTATTAATGCAATCAATCTTTTCAAGTGTAATTTAAATCAAATTTTTACTATTTTTGTAAATCCACGTCGTTATTAGTTTAAGTCCCGGATTTTAGACAAAACAGATTATTTTTATTTTTTAATAGTATTAACGAAACTTAGAAATAAGATTTATTTGTGTATGAAGATCATAAAGAAAAATTTTCTCAGCCGATTTGAAATTTGAGGCTGAGACGCAGCCGGGGCCTACAAATCGAATTAGGTTGAAAAAGTTCTCTTTGGCCAAGGTGCATACAGAAAAATAATAGGTCGTGTAAGTGGTTTTGAGGTTAGAATTTTTTCTTTCGTTGCTGGAGGAAAAGTTATTGAAAATTGATAAAAACCAAAATGTTACTTTGTTCCTCTTCTAAGAACTCTAATTAAAAAAATGTTAGTCAAAAACACAAGTCCAAAGATGCACAAGTCAGTCCAAAAATTGACAAATGAGCCCAAAAAATAATTTTGACAAAAAGGTGACACTTCTTGGACGTGACTGGGGACGTAAAACGACTAGATTTGTAATGGTCGCCTAAAACTGACTTTTGAGTCAAATAGAATTATTGATAAGGAATCAGCTAAACTGACTAAAATCTGCGTTAAGTGCTCATTTCTTCTTTTAAGCGCCTAAACAACATCCCTACTAAAACTTTAAATATTGGAAATGGGAAGATTTTTTTTTTACGAAACGGGTAGAAGCGGGCAGCGTTACGTCATCTTGACCGCCCCTGAATTCTGTACAAAACCTGCATCCTTCGTGCAGACGGCGCTATAAATTCCGCCAGCTCGACTAGGAACCGCGCCCTCCGCTTCTGCAATATTTTTCTGTATTATTTACCTCAATTCCATTTTAAATGTTCAATTTCTTAAAACTCTTATATTAACGACAACTGAACAAGTATTAAAGCTTCAAAAGAGCAATTAACAATATTTAAGTTTGTCATACAATCTTGTGAAATTTTAAACAAATAGAACATAAGATAATTTATATGACAATAAATAAACACAAAAATATCCGGTCACCGTTGCGAGGAAAAAGTCTCGGTGATGTAATTTTTAACGTTGCGAGGAAATGCCTCGGTGATGTAGTGATGATAACGACGATAATAACGGTGATAACTGCCTAAGGGAAGAAATTATTTTAACCCCCCGCCAGTCCGCAATATAATAAATTTTGTTAATTTAACTGCCGTTAATGAACTATTAGCAATCTTGTGTGAAGAACTAAGAAGTGTTACAATGTAACACTTAAGGATATGCATCCAGAAACCTCATTCGTAACTAAACAAACAAAGGTTATCCTGACTAAGTGAATTTCATGAAATCTCCTAGTACGGGTCCGTTAAATTGTGTTAGCACCAGTAAGCGATTAAAATCCTAACCTGACCGGTAAATTTACAAACAATAAAACAAATTTACAGCACGTGTAGCGTCGGTCGAAACACTTTTTCCGATTAGAAAGCCGCAAGAATTAGCTGCGCATATTGGAGAAAACTGAGCGCCATCGGCGTTACTAATTTATTAATTATTAATTTTCTAGTTAATTTAACCTAGCTAACTTAGAGCGTCTTTTCACAACAGCGAACCAAACAATAATCACGCTGTCACCATGCTCTCGCCATGCCGCTGTCTTGTCTACTCTACCGCCCTCTAACTAAAACATCCCCTAGCGAGCTACCAACTACCTATGGTTGCCTATGTTTAACGATTTTTTTGATTGATTTTTTTTTTTCAAATTCAAATTATTCAAGTCACTGAGTGTCGGAGCGCTAGTGATCTTATGTTTTTGGAAGAATCAAAAATAGGTACAACTTAAGCACTTAAAATCGTTGAACAAAAAATAGTTTTAACACACAAAATACCACTGTTCGCTACAGAAAAAGTTGTATCAAATTAAATTTAATGACGAAATTTTTCGGTGTTGAGAAATGTAAATATAATCCAATAGGAGTATTATTTTACATGTACCTATAATTTGTATATGAAAAAATGACACTTATTCCCGCAAGAACAAGTAGAAAACAAAGACGGAAAATTGCTATGGGAATTAATTGAAGAAAGAGGTTGGGAAGTCTTGAATGGGGTGAAGGAGGGGGACAAGGAGGGGGAATTTACCTGGATAGGTAAAAGAGGGGAATCGGTAATAGACTACGTAATATTAAACGGATTAGCAGAAGAAGAGGTAGAAATATTCAAAATAGGGGAAAGAGTGGACTCCGATCACATGCCACTAGAAGTAAAATTGAGGGACATCGGTAGAAGGAGCGGATGCTTAAGTAATGAAGTAGGAAAAGAGAAGAAGATATGGGTATGGAATGAAAAAGGAATTGAGCATTATAAAAAAAATGTGGAAGTGGAATTTAAAGAAAAAGGAACTGAAAAGAAAATGGAAGAATTAAAAAGAGAAATTGAAAAAGTAGCCATAAGAAAAGAAATTGTAACGAGAAATTTAGAAAAGAGAAACAGATGGTGGGATAGCAGATGCAGAGATTTAAAAACAGAAGTAAGGACATGTTTACGAAGGTGGAAAAAGGGGAAAGGTATAAAAGAAGAGTACTGGCAAGCAAAAAATAATTATAGAAAACGATGCAAAGTAAAGAAAGAAGAGATACAGCAAGAAGAAGAAGAAAAAATTAAAGCCTTAAGAGCTGAGCAAGAGGCATGGCAGTATACAAATAAAGAACGGAAGAACAATATCAAATAATTTGTCAAACTTATACACAAATTTTTGGGTTTCTTTTGCCTCAGAAGGCAGCGCTTGTAAGGCAGTATATGTATTTAAAGCAAATACAACACTTCCACTTAAAACTTGTGGAGCTAAACTTGGAAAGCAGTGGGACATATACGAGCCTCTATTAATTTTGGGGCAAGTCTGTTGTCTAATTCTTTGTCCGATTCATTAAAGCGCACAAGTTCCACTTTGTACTTTGACCATCTCTTACAAATATATACTTCATCAGGTTATTCGTAACAGCCTTTAATAAATGCAGTACATCAAAAATATAGTCATTTTTTTATCATCCGCATAAAAATAAGTATCTTCATTTGATTTATATTTTGGACACAACAGCCATAATATTTATACCAATTTTTTTCCAATTTCTCTTGCATCATTTTTTATTATGAAGCTCTCTGAGCATAATAACTGCTCCACGTCTAAAGTTTTTCCCATCCCCAAAACCCCAAATTATGTAGTCCAATCACTTCGTCTTGAGCAATATGGTAAAATAATTGTTTATTAAGACTCATTTCGTCAATAGCTAAAACCCAATTTTTGTCTATTTCACTCATGTTATCAACCTGTAAAATAAAATATATAAATTAATTGCGCAGGCAAATGTAATTTTTATACCTTAGTAGAATGTCAAACATAACATCTTGCAAACCAGGAGAAAACTTTAATTTTTCTGTAATTCGCAGTAAAGTTCGTTTGCATGGCAAATGGAAAACCTTGGAATCCAGCAAAATATAATGATAAACACAACTGTAAAACCTCATTGGTATAACGTATATTTTTTCACATTATTGCGAAATCTGATAAGGTTTTGTGGCTTTTAGAAACACTAACTGCTCACCGGCTGGAAATTTTGACACCATTTGTAAATAATATAATGTTGCACGATGATAAACTATAGGAGACTCATTTCCAGCAAGATGGAGCTCAAATACCACCTACGACATGACTGAATTAGTCCACGGACTAGTCTGAAGACGAATTTTGTCACTCGTATGTTAGTATTTTCCAAGCTGTGAAACTTTGGAAAACATGATTTAACTATTTAACTATTTCCCAAGATGACTTAGTTGCAACACTTGACACATTATGATAAATTATTTCTAGTTTAATTTTCGTCTAATCAGTATCCTTCAACTTCTTTTGATGTAATCCGGAAGTACTAATTTCTTGTAACCTTGTCTAACCAAAACATTTAAATGTGCAAACTGATAAATAACCTAATTTAAATAACGTAACAACAATTGAAACCATGTGTCTACGGTTAAAAATAAACCCTTCGACAATTATATAGCAAATTTTTAATGTAGCTACTTACTTGATTCATTAATTATAGTTTTATCAACCACTCATATATCCATATAGTAGTTAATCCATATTGCGTCTCGAGCTAATGAAAAAATTTCACTTGATATTTTGATAAGTAAGCAGCCACAAGCCATAACCTAAGAGATACATAATAACAAACGTACATGGTCATTTTTAAAATAAACATGATAAGATAAAAGTGAATAAACGATACCCAAGTAAAGTGCCATTGAACTTAACTGCAATAATAAACAAACTGTAATTTGTGTCTGTACTTTTACTCATAAATTATTTACAACATAATATTTTACATTTTCCAAGTTTTTGCTTCCTCATATTGCTTTGAAACCTTTGAAACTACAGAACACTCAGATATATATTATGTCATTCAAGACGGCTGCTACATTATTATTATTAAGACTATATTTTTAGAATATGCTCCAAAAATAGCTATTTTACGGACTCATTGGGTGATATAGCTATTTTTGTAACAAGTCCTAAAATACTGTTTTTGGACTCATCTGCTATTCAGCAACGATTACGCAAAAACGGTATTTTAGAACCTTGTTACAAAAATAACATTATCAGTACATGCTTAACTTCGACTTTTTATGTTTATGCATCGACTATTGAGCACGTGACCAGAATAAGCGGCGGCAGATAAAAAATATGCATATGTATTAAAATAAATGAAACTGATTTTGTCTCGTCCAAACAAAGGAGAGGATAATTATTATCAATTTAGCTATAATGGAGCAAAAGGTTTTGAATATTATTTTGGGGTAATTTTGATTATTATCAGATATAAGGGACATTTAAGTTGGGAGAAGCACATATTTTTAGTTACTGCACTGCTATGATTCAAAAAATTTTGGTATCACGTGGAATACAGGAGTACCAAGATGTTATAAATATGATCCCGTAATTACTACATGTAAATATAACTTTGAAAATAATTATGAAGTGCCATACATTTACTTACCATTAATTATTACTGATTTTCTCTTTTATAACAATATATTCAGTATTTTTCGTACACAATAATTAAAAAAGATAACATATTATTTTGTAACATTCGGAGTAGAACATAAATAAATAATCAATGTAAGTATAACAATTGTTTATCTTTGCGTAGAAAAACTTTTGGGAAAAACCTTGACGATATCATGAATCTGATCAAAATGAACCAAATTAAAGTACATGATTAATTACGCTAATTATATTATTTTAATTGATAAAAATATAAGTGATACATAAAAAAAAATAAAAATGTATATATAAATTTACCAGTTATTTTAAAGTGAGCTTTTAACCTAAAAATGACCTTAAAGCGTAATGGATGAAGGATAAATTATTGAATTTATCTTAAAATATTTATAATATTTAAAAAGTTAAAAAAATCTCAGCAACAATCAAATGTATGTCATCTATGGATCGTGATGCTATATATTCAAGTCCATAAACAATAAACAAAAGTTTAAAGGTTTTATGAAGTAATAAAAATACTAAACATGATTTAAAATTTTGTATTTATCACAAGAGATAAAAAAAATTATATAAGTTACCAAAAATATAGTTAGCCCGTCAGTTTATTAGGAAGAGTGTCTGCAAACGGTACGTTATTATTATTTTTTTACAAAATTTAATAAGAATATGGTCTTTATTTCAATGGAATTTAATGGATCTAATTCGAATTAAATCTTAATTTAAGAATATTCTGATAATAATTAGAGATAAAAAGTTTTAACTGGTATTCCAACCAATGAATAATTTACCCCGCGTATTAAACAAATAAATCGTCGTATCTTCACCCCTTTTCTTTAACTTGTGTTTCACGTGCTTATTTTCAGATGAGGAACCTAATTTTCAGGCTTTGCCTATTGGTAGCAATACTCAGCTGTGCACATTCTAGACACACAAAAACTGTAGAAAAAAGACAGTGCTCAGGCAACAACTGCAACACATGTAACGGCGGGAGTTGCAACACATGTAACAGTGGAAATTGCAACACATGTAACGGTGGAAATTGCAACACATGTAACGGTGGAAATTGCAACACATGTAACGGTGGAAATTGCAATGCATGCAACAACAATGTTTGCTGTTCAAGTGTAAGTTGTAACCAATGTGTCAACCAATGTTCCAACAACTGTAACAATAACGTATCTTGTAAAAATAATTGTGTGAGTGGATGCGTCACGACGTGCCAAGGAAATAATAATTGTGCGGGGTCTTCATGTTCCCAATGTATCAACAAATGTGGCAATCAGTGTTCCAACAGCCGATGTGTAAACGATTGTTTTAAATCATGCGACTGTACTAATACTAAAGAAGTCAATGATTCCGTTGTGTTGCTTCCATCTTCCGAAGCTTCAAGCGTAATTGTTAACAACACTAATAATAATCTCGTTAATTTAACTACAAATGTTAACATAGACAACGTCGTTCACAATTTCAATAACATAAGTATTCCGGTGTATGTGAACACCACCAACATTAATAATATCAATTTTTCTCATCAGTCGTCTGAAACAGGCTCACGTCAAAACTCAGATCTTACACAACCCATCGTGTATCCTATTCCTTATCCTTATCCCATTCGGGAAACCATACAAGCTCCCCAAATTAGGGACAACTGTTGCTATGTATTGCACCCACGAACCTGTTATAATGATAACGAAGGCAACAACAGATGTTACATTAGGAGAAGTCGAGAATGTTCTAATGCGTGTACATCACCAGTGATTTCAATAGAACAAGCAACCACAACTAATTCAGGATGTCAACGTGTTAATAGTTGGCCTTACCAATATTGTGGAAATTATGTTCGTCGAGGTATGAAGTTTTGATCATTTTTGTTGGAAAAAAGAAATATTTAAACTGTTTTGACTAGATTGTAACCAATGTTACACCTGTGGAGGCAGCTACAACCCAACCCAATGCTTCAGGCAGTCCGGATGTTCGGATGGTTGTAGACAGGCAGCACCAAACTGTGTTCCGAGCAACAATGGACTTCAATGTTACTAGTAATGAGAAATTACTAATTCTGTTATTGATTGTAGTCATAGAAGAGTAACGAGGATCCTTAGGATTATTTACTAGACATTTTATTATTATTATTATTATCATTAATATTGAATAAAATATAGTTTGTTCTCTTTTAATTCTATTATTCTATGCTACCTAATAAAATTTGACTAAAAAGAACCAGTAACTACGAAAAAATAACATTAAAACAGTCAACTCCTTTCTCATAATGTTGATACAATTTGCTCCACTAGAAACTATAATTTTACACAATTATATGTATTGTATGGTCGTTAAGTACATTTTTTTCGGACATCAATAAAACAATAATTGCAAAATTAGAGAAATTTTTGCTTATTTAGCCAGAGCCTGACATAAGCGGAATTTTTTGTTATATGATTGCTTAATTAATGAGAGAAGAGATAGTTACGAAATCATATTTATCTAGTTTAAGTTTTGTCTAGGACAATTATCTTGCCTAGTATGTCAAGGAAATTCATTATTAGAAACTATTTGTTAGTGTATTATTATTGCGATTTGTTATTAGCAAATATTTATTAGATAAGCTTACTCTATCATACATGTTTTTAAAACTGTGAAGCATCAAAGGGCACATTCATCACGTTATTTAAACAGGTTTTAAACATACCTTATTCGGTATAAAAAACATACTATAAAGAAACTCATTTTTTATTATGTAAAAATGTCATTGTAAGTTCTTCATCGCGATAATAAAATCTTACATATATGTTTCTTTGTAAGTTAACTCAGAAACTTTCTCTACCTTGCGGAAGTTTATCGTTATCCCTTCTATGATTTGTAGAATTAACTCTGCTGCAACCTTCGATCTGCATCAATTTTGATAAGACTTTACTTTATATAGTTTATGTTGTTGAAATCGAAAGCAGTATACAACAGCTCGCTGCTTTGGTCAAATGGATTTTGAGGGTGAATCATATTTCGTTTTAAAACCATGGTGAAATCTGGACTCCTCTCTGACTGAATCAACTGAATAATAATCGTTCCCGCAGGTCGCCTCTATTTAAACGCATACTCTCCTTCTAGAGGTTTCGTGATCGAGGTCTTTCTGGAATCCGTCGCGACTTCCGCTTCCAGGCCTTTCTTTAGCGACCGCCGCTCGGCCAACCTGACACCGCACGATGAGTCATCATCGCCGTGCTTACTGGAACCCATAGGAGTCGTAGCGGGGTGACGTATATATTTCTTTCGTAACAATATGATAAAAGTCGAAGAGGTTTTAAGATTAAAATAGAACGAGAAAACACGTGAAGACAAATCAGTTTGGTCCTAAATACAGGAAGTAAGTATAAAAGGAGATAATGTTGTTTTCCTCTACAGAATATGCAGATTAGTGACTAATTTATTTGCAGCTGATGCAGTGCAAAAAACTTGGAAAAACATAAGAGATACATATATAAAAGAAAGAGAAAAAAAGATCACCCATTCAAGAGACAAGCCCTATGAAGAACAACGGACTTTATACAAGTACCTAGAGTTTCTGGAAAAACATGTAACCAGTAGAAGGTTCAAAGTGTCAGACAATGCGTTAAGTTGGATATTATTATAATGCAAGTTTTAGAACTAGTGTACTAGTACATAGTACAAAAATTGGTCGGAAGTTGTTTCGACGGAACTTCAAACGCTCCTGAAGTACAATGAAACATCCAGCATTTTCCAGTTGAGATTTTTCTTTACACAATTTTATGATGACGTCATCAACATTTTTGCAAGGATACGTATATCAGTTTGGATTGGTGCAGTGTAATACTAAAAATGACACTATTGTATTCCCAAAATTTGCTATGAGAAAGGAGTGAGCCGTTCCTGATTTATCAATAAAATAAAATGACTCATTCATTAATTGTTTTGAGCCACCTGTTTAAATAAATCTAAAAAATATGAAGGCAACGATAAACCACAAGTAAAACTCATCATATTTTGCACATTTTGGGAAGAATTTATTCGGGAAAATTTTGAGATGACGTCATCAATGTTTTGGGGTTGATAAACAGATACACTTTGATCAAAAATTTACCATGCATATGATAACCTTAAAACATCTCCAACATTTCAAAGCATTTGGTTTTGTAATTCCTGATCAAATCAATAAAATAAAATCACTCAGTTATTAATTTTTTTGAGACACCCTGTATAAGCAAATCTAAAAAATATTAATGTAGTAATAAATCACAAGTCTAGACTCATAATATTTTCGACATTTAAGATAGGATTTATCAGCTAAATTTTGAGGTGACGTCATCAGTTTTTTAGGGGGAATGAGCAAGTACATTTTGATCAAAAATTTAGCATGCTTATGATAACTTTAAAACATCTGCAAGAGTTCAAAGCATTCGGTTTTGCAGATTCGTCTGTCTGTCCATCTGTCCGTCTGTCTGAAGTCCCGATTTTTATTAATGTGACTCGAAAAAATTAATGAATCAATCAATTTATTTTATTGAATAAATCAAGAATTGCAAATTGAATACTTTGAAATCTTGTAGACGTTTTAAAGTTTCGTCAGATGAAAAATTATTAATCAAAATACATCTGTTTATTCTCCTAAAAAAAATTATGACGTCATCTCAAAATTTTGTCGAATAAATTCTACCCAAAATGTGCAAAATATGATGAGTTTTTACTTGTGATTTATCATTGCATTCATATTTTTAAAAAATTAATGAATGAGTCAATTTATTTTATTTATTAAATCAGGCTCACCTCATTTTCACAGAAAATTTTGAGAATACAATACTGCTATTTTTAGTATTATATTGCACCAATACAAGCTGATATACGTGTCTTTGCCACAATGTTGATGACGTCATCACAAAATTGTGTAAAGGAAAACTCAACTTGAAAATGCTGGATATGTATCATTGTACTTCAGGAGCGAGGGAAGTTTTATCGAAACAACTTTCGATCAATTTTTTTTTTGAGCAATTGTTAATCCGGTTAACACAAATATAAACAAGTGTGTTTTCGTAAAATGCTGGATGTTTCTTTGTACTTTAGGGGCGAAGGAAGCTCTCAAAACAAGCTTCGACCCATTTCGACTCCTTGGCTGATAGAAGCTTTTATCGTATTGTGTCACGAAAGGAAATGGATACGACCCAATGACTTTTACCAAAAAACGAATGATACTAAATGATAATTAACATTAACCACTGGAGCTTTTTCGTAATGAAATATAAAAAAATTGGTCTAAAGAGTTTAGACAGTACTTCCCTCGCTGTCGGAAACTTGACGACTGCATGCCTATTGTGTTTTTTTTCTCATTACATTTTTGTAGTGGGAATTTAAAAAAAAATTGTGATGACGTCATCAAAATTTTTGCAAGGACACGTATATCAGTTGGGATAGATGTAGTGTAATACTAAGAATAAAATTATTGTATTCCCAAATTTTCGGGAAAATGAATTGGGTCGTTTTGAATATTGATTTCTTATAATCAATAAAATAACGAAACAATTTACTCACGTATACGGCGCCGGTGTGTAATATCTAGAGAGCGGATTTCTGTCGGGCTAGGCAAGGCCAAACTCGGTACGGCTCGTACGGGATGCGAATTCATTGCGGTTGCGGACTGCACTTCGTTTATTTGAGATTAGAATAACGCTGTTTCGTTGCACTCTGCTGTTAATTCCCGTTCTCATTTACTTAGCCGTTTGATTAATAAATCGTTAATTATATTTATGGAATTAGTACCGATTAAATTCAGTGATTATCTATCACCCGCTACTGAGTCCCGGCGATCCAGTGCGTCCCCACCTATAATCGTGACGTAGCCCGACAAAAATCCACTGTCTAGTAATATGAAAGGCAACTGAAAATCGTTTATGTATAAACATTCTTAATTTAATATGACAAGCGTAACAGCATACGTGAGAGTCAAACAGAGAAACTGTAAACAAAACGACCATCGGTTTTATTGCTTCGACTTCCGCTTATTATATAAAACATTGGGTTTTATTTCAATTCTTGACGGTGAAATTCACAATTGGTTGATTATAAACATGTCTATTCCACATTCGCGGAACCTAGACAGCGCACACGTCTGTAATGTTAAAGTCGATGTAAATAAGCGTGCTACCCTTATGTTTCAACCGAGTTTTTACTTTAAAAAATTTTGTGTCTACCAAATTGGCTTGGTCCAATGTAATACTAATAATAAGTGTTGCCTTTAATTTAATCAATAAAATAAATTGACTTCATTAATTTTTTTGAGCCACCTCTTAAGAAAATCTAAACAATATGAATGAAGTGATAAATCACAAGTACAGACTCATCATATTTTTACGCTTTAGATAGGATTTATTCGGCAAACTTTCGAGCTGACGTCATCAAATTTTTTGAGGGGGGATTAGCAAATACATTTTGATAAAAAAGTTAACGTGCTTATGATAACTTTAATACATCTCCTATGTTTCAAAGCATTTGGTTTTGTTGTTCCTGATTAACTCAATAAAATAAATTCACGCATTCATTAATTTTTTGAGTCACTCTGTATATGCAAATCGAAAAAATTTGAATGGAATGATAAATCACAAGTACAGACTCATCATATTTTGTACATTTTAGATAGGATTTATTCAGCAAAATTTTGGGGTGACGTCATCAATTTTTTAGGGGGAATGAGCAAATACATTTTGATAAAAAATTTACCATGCTTATGATAACTTTAAAACATCTCCAAGATTTCAAAGCATTCGGTTCTGTAATTCCTGATTAAATCAATAAAATAAATTGACGCATTCATTAATTTTTTCGGTCACCCTGTATATGCAAATCGAAAAAATTTGAATGGAATGATAAATCACAAGAAGAGACTCACCATATTTTGTACATTTTAGATAGGATTTATTCAGCAAAATTTTGGGGTGACGTCATCAATTTTTTAGTTGGGATGAGCAAATACATTTTGATAAAAAATTTACCATGCTTATGATAACTTTAAAACATCTCCAAGATTTCAAAGCATTCGGTTGTGTAATTCCTGATTAAATCAATAAAATAAA